TGTGGCATGTAAAGAATTTTTCATGCATTTTAAAGATTTTCTTAGTAAATTTAGCCAAAGCAAAAACAGTTGGGTGAGCTCATAATTACAATTTTAAAATTGACAGATAACCTGCAATTTATTTGCAGGAAATCACAATAAACAGAAAACAAGTAAAATATAATAAAATAAAAATTTTAAAATTAATTTAATAGTAATCAGCAATAGAAAGATATATAGTATAGAAATAAAGTTCATTAAACTGCACAACCATGAAGAAATAAATAACATTACCCCTAGCAAACAAAGACAACATAAATGAAATAAAGAAAATGGAGATGGAAATCTACAAGCCAGCTAATCATAACATGAGAGAATTGTAATCTTATTACATTAGTGATTAGAATACAGTATTTTGTCTTGTAAATTAGGAAGAAAAATAAAAACAACTCATATCAAATTCTCATGTAATGAGTTCTCATCAAGTGAGCTCACACTGTATCAAAATTCAACCATAGTAAATAAGAATTCATTAAAACTACAATACAATTAATTAAATATGCAAAATAATACCATAGTAATATTTATATGTATTAAATACGTTTGACTTTTTAAAACTCAATTAATTTCAAAATGTCAATATTTATTGAAGCTTCAAAAAAATGTATTCTGCTTTATGCTACATCATTATATTCTATAAATGTACAGTAATACCTCGACTTACGCTACCCTGACTTACACGAACCCGGAGTTACGCAATTTTCAAATCTCGTCAATTCAAACTTTTGATTACTCACTCCCCCCCACACTATTGTTCAGTTTACATGTTCGGATGTGTCACACGTAATCAACACATAGCTACAATTTATTTTGTGTTATTTATTTCTGTGTTTGTTATATCTATGGAGACTTGAGAGACTCTATGTGGTGATTTCTTGCAACCATGAACGCATCAAAAGATGAGATAAGATTAACGAGAACATTTATTAGCTTACATACATCCAACTTGGATTTTACACAAATTGTGAAATTATACCCTGACTTACGCGGTTATCGCTCAGTCCCACCTATCACGTAAGTTCGGGATATTACTGTAATATTACAAAATTAGTGATTTATGATGGTACTGTACAAATTGAATATAATTATATAACTGAATAAAGAATGAAATATTGTTTAGCAGAATATTACTTGATAAACAACAGTTTGATTTAGAAGTACTATTGAGAAATTTGAATTAGGATAAATTATTCCTTCTATTAGAAGTTCTCTCTAGACAACACTAGATCATGAAGACAGTTTATATAATCTATATTTCTATAGATTTTAAAATATGAATTTTGGGTTTATTATTATATATTGTGTAAGGGAGCAGTTCATTTAAGCGAGCAGTCCTATTCCTGATTCTCTCCCCTATGTTTTACATGTAATGGAACTCCTGTTAACAGAGCACTGGATAGTAGAGCAGTCTGTTTAAATGAGTGCCATGTTGACAGCTTTTTAGAGCAGATATTAGCTTACATACATCCAATTTGGTTCACATAAAGAAACACTATTCTAAGAAAGATTCATATAAGTCTATCTTCAATCATAACTGTATATCACTGCTCAAGGACATAGTGACAGGGCTCACCATATTATAGTATTTGTTGAGATTTGTTGAAATATGAAATATGATTAGATGAGTGGAGGAAGATGGAGTTAAACAAAATGAAGACAAAACAGANAATTATTAAAATATAGTCAAACTCAAACATAACAGAACCAGTTATAACAATAACCTGACTATAATGACAAAATACTGATGGTTCAGCTACAGCCCTATACTTTAACATTACATTTTATCCTGATATAATGATATTGAAACTTGGTTATAACAACCAAATTTTCCACATTTTTCAACGTTTAGATTGATGTTTTAGCCCTATTTTTAAGGAAAGAATTTAACAGTACATTGTATGTTATCAATCTTTTAGTATTAGTTTAATTTCAGTAGAAAAAGATTTTGGTGAAGAAATGCATAGGCATGGTCCTGCTAATTGTTAAACACATTGCTGCAAAACATCTTGGGTCCATTGGAATGTTTCTGTTGGCTGATAATCTAGTGAAGGATTCAGTCAAGGAAGTTACAGATTATCTTCCTTTAATAGTTAGTCATTTCTGCAAATGTTCAATTCAGCATACAGTAGGAAGAACAGTGTTTCATATAATGGAGTGTTAAAAATGGGAGAGCATAAAAATCTCTTTGTTGAAAACAAAGTTTCCAACATAAAAGAAATTGAAAGAGGTGAAAAAAAGATTATGGTTTGTAAGAACTTTGTCCTGAGCAACTCAACTGTATGCACAATCTGGAAAGACAACGAGAAAATACAAAAAGCATTTGACAAATCAAGAAACAATGTTACAAAAGTAAGAAAACCTATACACGAAGATTTGGATCATGTGATCTTAAAATGATTCACAAAGCAATGGAGTCTAAACATCCAATTAATGGTCCAATCTTAAAAGTTAAAATCAAAAACTTTACTTGCAGCAATGATTGAATTAATCAATTTAAACATTGTCATAGCATTACATTTGGTAAAGTTTGCAGAGAATCAGCTCAAGTAAATTTGCAGACAACAACTGACTGGTTACAAAATGACTGATCTAAGCTTTGTGAAGGATTCAATGCTTTCAGACATTTTTGATGGCAACAAGATGATTGTGTGAGATTGTAGAGGGAGTAATTAAGTAATTAAGTTAATTAGTTAAATTTTAAGAGAAGTGAAAAAACCCCATTTCCTTTCTCTCACCCACACACAATATTATGATGGATAAAAACCGATTAATATCAGTCACTAGGATGTTTGGACTTATGTGGCAAGAAAGTTGATTATTAATGATGGGAAACTGTCAGACAAATTTATGAGGTAAGACAAGTAACAATAACAGATAGAAAATAGCAATAATTCATCAAAACATCCAATTCTTGACAGCCCATATCAGCAAAACCTGGACCCAAGTTGAACTTAGAACACATTAAATCAACTTCCCGAGTTAATTCTCACACGCAACGCATATAAAAGGGTTGCACCCGATCCGGAGGCAAACATACCAAAAAGAGCATAGAAGAAGCTGTACCCACCAGCTCCCATCCTGCCACACTCCAGGCCGAACTTTATCTCCAGATGAATCGAAGAAAGTATCGCCCTACTGATACACCTCAACAAAAGGATGAAGGACTACTTGCCACCTATACTGACAGTTAATCCTGGTGCATTTCACCAATGCCCCATACTATGAGATCAGGGACCATTGGTCTAAGAGGTATTATTTAGTTACTTTATGTAAACTCTCTCTCTCTCTTGGTTGACTTAGAAATTAAGATAGATTTTAAGCACTAAGACAGTCATCCCCGTAGTACTAATCTCAGTCTATGCTTGTTATCTGAGCTACGATTCTCCTATTCTGTATGCTGTAATCCAAAATTTTGTTTTTGTTATATTAAATTTGTTCTGTTTATTTAAATGGGTTGTGATTACTTGTGTATCGCCAACATCTTATCAACAATCTCACGGACCTTCCCACTCGAACTACAAACCCTCTTATTATGCTATCCAATGACAATGTGAGCAGTCACTACATAACTGTCATTGGAGAATGAGTTAAGTCTCGCAACTTAACCCTGATTCCTCACAACTGTTTTATAGACTTACATCTGATAAGACTAAAATTTAAGAGAAAAAATGTTCTGATGGAAAACTGTCAAAGGAACAAGATTTAGCCATAGAAAGGAATCAAGTTACACCAGAGACAATTAGAAACTGCTTCTGTCATGCAAAATTCTCAAACATAGCTGGACGCACAAATTCTGAGGAACTTGAATGGTACAATGATATAAACACTGAAATTATCCCAAATGCAGAGGAGATTCAGCATTATGTTCAAGCAGATGATGATGATATAACCAGTGCAATAAATTCTGATGGTGAGATCATAGCAAAAGTGCAAGAGGAAGATGATACAGGAAATGGCAATGATGAGTGTGAAGAGATTGCAAATTTGAACCTGTTCCTATGCTAAACAAAGTGATTGTCACTTCAAAAATATTGACTCAATTCTTTGAATCTTTTTCCCAAACAGAAAATATGACATTTGTTACTCAGATGACTTAAACATGTGATGGAAAATGCCAAAGACTCAAATTGAAATTATTGACTTTTTTAAGCATTAAAAGCAATTGATGTGTAATGTATAGTGTAGTAAAGGATCAATGCATTAATGAAGTGGTTTCCAAACTTTCTGTACCTTTGCCTCCTCTTTTTTCAGAAAAAAATTGTTGGGCCCCTTCAATTTTCATAACAATCTAATTTCATAAATACTGTCCTTATAATTTATTTAATGGCCTACAAAACATTATACCTTATTAAATAAAGTATATTGTTTGCCAAGGCTCAACTCTTGTTGAGACGTTTTGGCAAGAGTATGGATAGATTTCTATCCATACTCTTGCCAAAACTTGAGTCATTTTGACAAGGGTTGTGAATTAGGCATAACTGTTTTGCTGATTCATTTGTTCAACACCAATTTGACTTTTTTTTTGTTTGTTTGTATAAAAAAATGATAATTTGGTAAAAGCTGCATGTCCCTTGCAATAATCTCATACCCCACAGATTGGAAAACATGCATTAATGCGTATGATTGTCATACTGTGTTTTTACGTTTATCTCAGATACAGTGGAACCCAGCTATAATGACATAAATAAAACAGTTCCTTGAATGCCGTTATAACAAAGGTATATACTGTATATTAAAATTAAAAATTAAAATTTAGGAAAATTTCTGCAGTGTCAGCATTTATTAATAATTTTAACAATTAGGTATTTATACTAATTTTTAATTAACATTTTCTAATTAAATGACAGGGGAGAATGAATTACATTTAATAGTTTAATAGAGATTATTTTCATATTAATTAGAAATGTGATAATTTATGTAACATTTAGAATATATAGCATAATCTTAATAAACTCCTGTACCTGTAAAACTTTTCCAATTATGTACCTTTCACAATGAGTGCATTTAACTCCAAAATTCTTTTGATAGTCTTTTTCACAATAAGGAAGACCATCTCTGTAAATTAAAAATTCTAGATTATTATTAAATTTAAAAAATATTACAAATATTTGAACTTTATACATTATTTTTAGATAATTAAATATTATATAAATTTTCAAAGCACTAAAATATTTATATAATAAACAAAAACTTTTCTTTACAAAATTATAAAAGAATGATTTATTAGATGTTATTATATTTTCAATATTTTATTTAAAACTAAAATTTAGAATATTTTTGTTTTTTATTAGTTAATCTTTAATTATTTTACTAAGAATATTTTTCTATTTTCTCTATCTTCTTTTCTCTTAACTTTTTTATAATTTAATAGTTTTTAATTGTTAAATAAAATAACAAAAGCAAAATCAATTTAATATCTATTTCCTATGAACTGTAAAGAAGGGAATCATACAGAACGTTCTCTCAATAAAATTATATTAAAAATTTTTTGTTTCTATTGTAATGACTTCATTATCATCCCAGTTTTTTAAATAAGATAACAATTATACTTACTTGCAAATATTCATATATTATTCTTATTAATTGAATTATTTGAAACTATCAAAATATGACTATACAGTGATACCCCGAACTTACGCGATAGGTGGGACCGAGCGATAACCATGTAAGTCGAATTCGCGTAAGTCGGGGTATAATTTCGCATTTAAATACATACAAATAATTTTTAATTGGGGCCGGAGACTAAAGAAAACAATAATTTAGAAAAAAATGTTTAATAAAATCTTAGATAATACATATGTATAACAAATTACAGTAGTGCCTCGTATAACGTACTTAATCCGTTCCAGGTGCACATCTGTTAAGTGAAAAATCCATTATACAAAACACATTTTCCCATAGAAATACATGTTAAAACATATAATTTGTTCCGCGGCATAAAATAACCATACTGTATTATAAAAAAAATGAAAATAGAGCAGTCACCAATTATGCCGGGTAGTCAGATGTTGTGAGGAGGAGGTGGAGGAACACTTTCTTTACACATTCATACAGATACAGACTTTTTACTCATTGCAGAACTTTTACTCTTTTTATTGTTTTTAATCGGAGTCAGATTCAGGAGAGACTACCAGAGCTTGCAGGGTCATCTCCTCTTGTTCCATCCTTTGTTTTTTGGCAGCTGGCTTCTTGAAAAACATGTCCAAGGTGGTCTGTTTCTCTCTCTTCTTCAATACCTGTCGGAAATGACGGGCAAG